CCCATGGAGCGGGAGAGCTGCAGGTCCCCCGATCACAAGCAGCGTTTCCCAAAGCTATTTAAACCTGCACGGCTACTGGAGAAGTGCCTTAGCCCTGCACTGGCATGGGTCCCCAAGCTGTTTGGGGTGCTCCCCCAGGTCCAGGCAAACCGCTGAGATGCTCAGCTGCTGCCTGGGGACTGCCTAGAGCCCAACACAGCCTGGCTGGCCACAGGGATGCTCCGGTCACCCTTCACAGATGTGGTCGTGAGTGGATTGAGGTGGCTCCTTTTCAAGACCAGAGAGCCTGTGGGAGCCAAAACCTCCCCACCCACTCGACCCTCCCCACCCACTTCCCAGGCTCTGGGGAGATTTGGGGCCACGGGGCTGCAGCTGCTGGCCAACACATTGCTTGTACCTCGCTGCATCCTGCAGCCAACAGGGACTGTTCCATGCCCAGCACAATGCCACACTCCCTGGCACAGCACTGTGCTCCCCAGCCAGGTCACGCTGCTCACCACGGCCAGGGCTTGATCCACCTCCCAGGACAGAGCTGGAACAGAGCTGGAGAGCTGCTCAGGGCTCTGCTCCCTGCCCCGCTGGTTCCCATCATGGGAACAGCCACACACTTCTAATTATATCCCCTAATTGCCTACATGGGGCTTTTGTGGCTTTCCCATGGTTAACAGGGACTTGGGGGCCGGGAGGAGCAGTGTGGTGGCACAGCGTGGTGGCGCAGCATGGTCATGTCCCTGCCATGCGCAGGGAAAGGCTGAGCCACTCCTGAATTGCTTTTTCCTAAAAACAAAATGAAAAGAAGGGGCCCATGTGTCCAAGTCCCCTTTCCTTGGGTCCTGGCGCTGAATTGGCCTTGGTGGAGGTGGAGAATGCGGGAGGATTTAATGCGCCACAGTTGATAGTCCCCATCTCTGTCACTGAGCTTGCGTGGGACTCTGGGCATGTCACCCAGTGTCCCTGCCATGCCATGCCATGCCATGCTGGAGGCAGCATGGGAGAGCCAAGGGTGCCAGGGGCTCTGGTGAGACTATTTGAGGGCAGCATGCCACTCCACCCTGCCCGATGAGGGTCCTCCACCCCAACCGACAGGCATGCTGGGCGGGCTGACCCTCACACAAACCTCCCTTCTCGGTTGTTTTTCCACCAGAGTCTGGCTGGAGCCAGCCCCCGCCTGCTGCAGATGTTTGGCAAGAGTCCCGGGGCGGGAAGCCAGACACTTCCAGCCCCTTGGCCGCC